AGCAGTGGACGCCGCTGTGTTATTTTATGGTAAGAGGAAGGATGCACAATAGATAGTCGGGTGCCAAACTTCACGTCAGCGTGTGCTGTGCTGGGGTATTATACTTGCAAAGGTACATTTGCAGTAATCAGATTGCATGTCAAAAGGATGCGATTACTTACTAGCAGCTTTGACCTTGCCGTCCTTGCAGTGACCGAAGGAATGCTGTTGGCTGGTGCTGTCATCGGGTTCTTTGATAGTTTGATTTAAAATTGGTGGAAGCTGTGGTTATTTTACATTGTTTAGTGCGGATGTCTTTAAACCAAATTAACTTTTAATTAAGAAACATTGATCGCTCAAAGTTGCTGCTAAACAGCACAACTGTGATTTGTTAACGATTGTCAACATTGAGAGCAGTCTTCAATCAGCAATGAAACGGTTTTCCGAGCTGTCTGCTAACCACCGCCACATAGACCTGCATACGAATTACATCGGGTATACAGTGCACTTTAATGCAACATCGACCGACTAAATGCAACATCCGCCGACTATATGCATTAAGCACCCTTCATAACACAACCTAAATTCACATAGCCCTCGCCACAAACTACATAACTACCAAGTTTAACCTCGCGCTCTTAAACACCTCATCTCAGCCAGGTCGGGCTCTGTGCGGTCTCCTTGACCACACCTGGCCTCATTCTGTGGCTGTCCCGTCAGCAGGTCACTCTCACCTCCCCCCGCAAAGCGGCCGGGGCCGCTCCCGTATGATGCCAGTGTCGCCCGACCCACATAACTCGTCCGCCGCGGCTAATCTCAAACGTCCACCTGTCTCTGGTCATTGCGAAGGCGCCGTCCGCCAGACGGGGCCGCCGCCCCTGCCCCCGGGCGGAGGTGGCGCGGGGCAGGCCGCTGAGACGGTGACCTGCAATATTCACCACTCTCGGCTGTCAGGTCCGTTGCAAACATTGCAGCCGCTGGAGCGGTGTGAGTGGTTGAGGCGGTGGTCTAGATCGGTCGCTGGCCGTGCTTGGTCGTCTGTTGCCGGGACGGGAGTGAATAGGATTGGAGCGCAGTCACACCCCGCTGCGGCATCCAATCGTTCCTCTCAGGCGTTTTTCTGCGGGCGCACGCCGGGCGCTGGCGCGTCGGACGGCGTTTTTGCCGGCGCACACTTCTGTTCCGATCAGCGGGCACGCGATGATCACTCGTGCGGCACGTCTGGCCGCCAGAACGACCTCCGCCGGGCCGGCCGATCAAAAATCACCGCCCTGGGTCGCGCTCATGCCGCTCTTCTGGAGGCCGCCGCTAGTGACTATGATTTACGATCACGTGACTTCGGACCGGTGCCAGGCGTCGGGCGGCGCATCCACCCTCCTATAAAGACAACAGCGCGCCGGCGGTGGAGGCCGCGAGCTCACGACTCGCTCGTCGGATGGTGGATCTTTAACCCACATCTCTCGCTGGCAGGCCGTCCGCATCAATTTCAGTCAAGGCTGGCCGCACGATGGCCAGAGCCTGACCCGCCGAGTCGACCTTCGCACGAGCGCCGGCTATTTACAACGGGTAGCGAAACGGAGGAAGACGAGACTCCTCCTGTGGCGGCCTTGGCGACGTCAGTTTGTCAACTGATGACGTCAGTTTGTCGATTGATGACGTCGGCTGCTCGACTGACGAGGTCGTTGCAGCCGTCAATTTGAGATGGCTTTCGGCTGTACTTCCATTCAGATCGAAGCACGCAGACTCGACATCCTGCTCCTAGGTCACATGAATTGCCGTTGGATTGCCGATAACCTTCGTACTTACTCGGCTCAATTGAGGATCATACACGTAAATACGGTGTTAGATTTCGTGCCGACTTTATATCGATAACGATTATGTCACTGTCGAGCACCGCTTGATTGAGCTTGCGCTGCGGTCTGATTGGTATTATGTCATTGGTATTACGGATAAGCTGACATTAGCCGATTATGCTCATGGCACACACGGTTCGAGCTGACGGCCTTCGGTGCATCTTCATTGAGAAGCGTGACCATCTGATACTCCCCGTGGAGACAAATGCGCTGTGCATCAGCGACAAGGCGTTTATCCGCAAATTCATTTGACTAAATGGTGGCCATGATAGTCTCGCAAACTTGGCTTTCGGTAACGTCTTTATAAAAGGCCGGAATGGCACTCTGAATGTGCGGAACTACGTCTTCTACGACCCACCGTACCTTTTGAACCGTATCCTTCTGCTGACCTCCATGTGGTGTAACTAGGTGGGTGTCCGGGACTCCTTTTGAAAGGGCCATTCAAACAGCGTCGCTGAGTGTCGTCACAGACTACTGTTGACCGGTGTTGAGTGGGCTGCTGGGCAGTCGTTACGTCAGAGCTGGTCTGTTTACTCGCGGGGCTGCCACTGAGTGGGTGTGGGCGACCGGACACCCCACCGCCGCCGAGACGACGAGAGGTGGGCCTGGACATCCCGCTGGCAGTCTGAGGGACCGAGTTTTAGGGGAATGCATCAGCTCCTCTACAGTCTTTCCGTGAAATGCATAAATGTTCCGTGGAATGCATAGTACATACATGTATCTGTTTGACACATACAACGCTTCGATGTCGTCGAAAGAATAAATTTTGCACTTGATTCGCTCTTAGCTAACCCCTCAATTCATCATCATCACTACGGAAGAGAACGTCGACTGGACAGCGTGAGTGGCACAATCTGCGGATGTTGCATGTATTTTTGTAACGTCGAATTAGCGGCAGCCGCATCATTCTGTTGGCAGACAGCTCGTCAGTCCGTTTGACTATGCTGTGTCTAAGAAGTCCTGTTGGACTACCTCGCGCCATTACTTCACTGAAGTAATGGCGCGAGCTGTGTATGTAGCAAGCGGGGAAACGCACCAAGGCCTTGAGAGTGAGATGCAGATTTTGCGCAGCCAGGTGTGCAGGGTCCGGGCAGATTGCGGTAGACGAGCCGACTTCCGCGAAGAGACGAGACAGCATGATGTATTGACTTGGGGTACAGTCGAGGTGGTGCAAGGAAGGACGATGGTAGTTGCCGTGCTAACAAAACAATGGCTTCCGTGCTGAGTCATGGGCTGTCTGGCCTTACGAAGATGCGGGAGTGTGCACACATCCATCTCAATTTGTCGGCCATGTTGTAAGACAGAGATCACAAACCGTGCAGTAGAGTTCCTGATGCATTTAGCACGAGTGTCTTGTTCTTTTACGTCTGGTTATGTGTAGTATTTTTCAATAGACCAAACTCTGATAGTAGTGTCATCCATTTCAAGAGTTCAGTGAGCGCTTTTGGCAACAAACATGACCGCATCTTTGGTGTTCGTTCTTTTCATCTGATCAGAATTTAGGTCAACATCGCCGTGCCAGCGGTCATGTGTGGTAGGTCTGACAGAAAGCGAGAGTTGTGAGCCAGTCGGCGTCTGGGTCAGACCAGAAGGTCACCGGAGGTCAGGGGTGGGCCGCGCCTCCCCTCTCTTTTTATCGCGACAAGACGGCTCCGCTACCATACATGGATTATCAAGGTGTCGCATCGTCGCCGTCTTTTCAGGTCCTGTCTGTTTTCGGCGTGTTTTCGTAACCGTGCTCTTCCATAAACATGAAGGGTCGTGCGCCACCCGGGCCGCCGTTTTTAGAAGTTCATTTCGCTGGGCTGGGGCGTGGGTGCGACTGGTGCTTATGATGTGATATATTTGGGGCACCCACTCTCCGAGCTCACTGCCAACTCGTTAGGCGCACCCAAGTTGTGCCATGTTCTGCAACCCCGACCTGACGACTGCGACCGCCGCTGTCGGTACGAACGTCGACGCTAAATGGACCACGGCAGAAATGATGGCGATGGGGTGGTTGCGAAATCTTGGATAACGCTTTCGCTTGCAGCATTGCGCCTTCCGAACACGATCTGGAGGTCTAAGGGCTATTGAGACCAAAAGTGTCGGAGTCAATCCGATAGCAACGCAAAGAAGGGTCTGCTCACACATGTTGGTGTGTGCTTAGCATAGAAATCGGGATTTTTGTTGCTGTTATTACAGCTTTTGTAGGTTATCAGCTAACACAAATGTCTTCCATATTATTATCAGCTGCATATCTACAAAATGCGGGATCTTAATCACTTTTGATTTCAAACCATTTCGAATAAAAAAAACAAATTAAAAATTAATCAAGCTAAAAGTGTGCCTCGAGCATTACGCTGAATGTCCTCCCTTGTTAAATGCATGAATATATATTACTGAACGGCTCTGGGAAAGAAAAATGGAAACCGAGGTCTTTAAAAAATTGTAGGCACGAGGCGTAGCCGAGTGCCGGAGATTTTTTGAAGACCGAGGTTTCCATTTTTCTTCCCAGAGCAAGTTCAGTAAGATATTTCCCATACGTCGTTTAATATCTATTCAGAAACTCACAATTTAATTATTGAATTCACCTTTTTTAAGATTTTTATCAAAAAAATCACCAGAACTGCAGGTCATCAACCCGTGCCGGAAAACAGTGCAGGAAAGATCACGTGCAAATGTTTCCCGCACGGCTAGGATAATGCTAAAGGGATATCTCGGCGTATGGGAAATACCAAAAGTAAACTTTATTGCTTGGAAGGAGGCTGCAACGTGACTGGACATCTGACTGATAACGATAACCCGCATACTTATACAATATGACTCAAATACGACATAATTCGATGTGATGAACTGTGTATCCACGGTCATGGTATTTGTTATTAATCTTTTTAAATAATAGAGTCGTAGCAACTTGTAGCAATAAACCTAGTATGAAGCGCATATGTAAGAGCTTAATAGTTTCTACATGGTCACGATATTATAGAGCACTTGGAACATTCATAGTTCACGAATAACCACATAAACTGCCAGCTACTAACAGGCTACTTTTCGCAACATATCGTTCGGAGTTCACCCAACGGGCTTCGTGCAATTAAACAACAGCAGGTGGTTGCGGAGATTGCTCCACTCGGCTGTCATTTCTCGTTGAGACTTGATCTTTGACACTTCCCACTTTGTGTCCAGGTACTATTGTTGGCGGCGGCGGCGCTGGCGGCGCCCGAGCCGCAGAAGGGCTACAGTTACCCGGTGCCGGACAACGGCCTGTACCTGCCGCCCCCGCCTGACAAGGGCGGTCCGGTCAACCCGGGCGGCTCGAACCCGGGCGGCTCCATCATCGACATCGGCATCGAGCTGCCGGCGGCCACCACTACCACCCCGCGGCCGGTCACCACCCGGAGGCCCGTCACCACGCGGAGGCCCATCACCACTCGACGACCCGTCACCACCAGACGACCGGTTACCACTCGGCGACCGATCACCACGCGGAGGCCCATCACCACTCGGAGGCCTGTGGTTACTACCGCCCGGCCGGTCATCACCCGCCGGCCCGTCACCACCCGGCGGCCTGTGCCCAGCCGACGCCCAGTGACCACTCGTGAGCCGTACCGTCCACCGGCCACCCGCGCCCCGGCGACCACCAGGAGACCTTTCACCACCCGCAGGCCGGTGGTGACCCGGCCACCTGTCACCACCAGGAGACCCGTGTTCACCACTCCCGAGCCGTACCAGCCGCCTTCGACCCGCCGTCCTGTCGTCACCCGGCCCCCCGTGACCCGGCCCCCTGTGACCCGGCCTCCGGTCACTCGTCCCCCCGTGACTCGTCCCCCTGTGACCCGGCGCCCTGTAACCCGTCCCCCTGTCACTCGTCCCCCAGTAACCCGTCCTCCCTTCACCCGTCCCCCTGCTACCCGCCGTCCGACCCCCACCCGTCGCCCGATCCCCAGCCGCCGTCCGGTGACCACCCCGGCCCCCGCCTACATCCCCCCTAACCCCCTGATTCCGGACGGCTCCGGCCCTGACGGAGGCCGTGTGCCGTTCCCCACCACCGGCGCTCCCCTGGTCACCACGCGCCGTCCGATCCCGACCCGGCGACCCATCACCACCAGGAGGCCTGTCATCACCACACAGAGACCGGTGGTCACCACGCGGCGTCCGGTCCCCACGAGAAGACCCGTGATCACCACACAGCGTCCCATCCCGACCAGGAGGCCCGTGATCACGACCCAGAGGCCTGTGATCACCACCCGCCGCCCTATTCCCACCAGGAGGCCGGTGGTTACCACCAGGCGTCCCGTGGTTACCACCAGGCGTCCGGTGGTTACTACCAGGCGTCCTGTTCCGACCAGGAGGCCGGTGGTTACCACCCAGCGTCCGGTGATAACCACGCGCCGACCGGCGGTTACCACCAGGAGGCCCGCCATCACCACTGGCCGGCCGGCGGCCACCACTGTCTCTCCGGGAACAGGAACGGTGAGAAACTCCGTCTGCCTCCTGTGAATACCATATAATTGCTTATTTTGGACGTTTGCCGTAATGCGTAGTCATAGTTGTGGTGTCTCGCGTCGAGCGGGGATGAAGCTGTAAATTATTGTTGCACTTTAGGCTTGTCCAACAGCATGTCTTGCTATGATTTGTAGAGGTCTGCACTCGAACGGGTCGTTCTTGGCCAGACAAGATCGATAATTATTTTTCTACAGTCCAGGTTCTCCAACCCTTGAAGCGAAATGAAAAGTGTTATGGTCCTGGGGTTCTTACCTGACGACTTTCTTTCACAGACGATGATGCACATGTCTCGTCCGTACGAGTTTGGCTACGACGTCGACGACTCAGACACCGACAACGCCTTCAGCCAGAAGGAGACCAGCGACGGCATGGTCATCACGGGAGAGTACCGCTGGAAGATGCCCGACGGCCGCACCCAGATCGTCACCTACCTGGCAGACTGGGCCAAGGGATATTACGCCGACATCCGCTACGAGTAGGCGCTGGCCGCGACCCAGCGGTGACCTATAGGTGATATTCTCGCGCGTTGCCCCGTTGGTGTCTGGTGGGTGGTCATGGCGAGATTGCCTGTGAGGTATCCAGGGGACCTGAAGTGGGTTGGGGGTTTGTAGGATGCCCCAGGCAATCTCTCCGGACCCTTCCAACCTATAAGCGAACACTACTGGTGGGCCTCAAAGGGCGCGGCACTGTCGGTAGCGGTCTCCTGGGCGACTTGCTGCAGCAACTTGCACACCTAGACTTGCTGGTCGGTAGGCACTGTGTCTCGGGACACACTTCGGAAGTCGGGTGCTTTGCGAGACGCTCGCGGCATCCCCGGACGCGAGGCGAAGTACCTGTCGACAAGACGCCAGGCGACGGGCAGCGATGGTAGCGGCGGAAGGGGCGCGTCGGCGCGGCGGAATCGCCCCGCTACTCGCCGCGATTTCTGTGATACCAGCCGTGGCCCGGGTCGGCGCATCGACGACCCGAGATCCCCTGGTATTTGCGCATGTGCACGGCTCCATAGCGGTGCCACATTGTTGAGTTGTGGGAGCGAGTGTGAGCTGAGAGAGCCGAATTGTTAGGAAACGTGTGTGGTGCGATGTCTTGTGGGAAGCGTGTGTCTTGTGGGATGACCAGAAAGTCTGGGAGAGAGACCGATTACAGGCTTGTCAAGTAAAATTGCATGAAATTGAGCGAATATTTCGTCTTGAGTGCAGAATCTCTGGATGCATCGGATACTTGTAAATGAAGAGTCGTGAGAAATGGCAGGTGCGAGTTGAAACGGAATGGATTGCGTGTTTCCTGCGTCAAGGACCGCTTTGGTGGTCTTTTATTTCTGAGCAGAGATGAACAATGTAGCAACTTCGGACATGAATCATGCGTCTTCATTTGCCTGTCAGCGTCGTTGTTGGTCCAGACTCACTCGGAAGGTGTTCTGTTCTTTAGCTTATGCCTTTCTTTTAGTGTTCATTGACGTGTCCTTTAATAAATACTACATACAGCTGGTTTGTAGGAACTCAAAGTCTTCTATGGTTTATTGAGACGTTGACGTGTTCATGGAAAAGGAAGATCGATTTCCGGGTCAGTGGCGGATCCAGGGGGGCAAAATGGGCATTTGCCCCTCCCAAACGGCATAATTTTAACATTACGCCTATGGACGAGGCATGGAAAGAATCGATAAATTATTATGGTTTGTCCCCCCCAAAAAAAAAACCTGAGCTGGATCCGCCTCTGTTCCGGGTTAGTCTTAAGTCGAAGAAAAACTTTGCTCATAATGTAATGATAATGTTTGAGAAAGCTAAAATGCAGTTTGAAGCGAGTAAGAACACGTTTATGTGGATATTGGTTGAGGTCGTCCTGCGCCCCCAATGAGCATAAGATCTGGGCCGGATCAGATATAAGATATTTGGCTGACATTAGAGCGTATAAATGAGTTAGGATGCAACCACTCATCTTGAGGAACGCTGCAACAAAACACCATGTGAATCCTCGCACAAGGCCATTCTTAGCACACACCGAGGGCGAGAACTGCCTGTGGGTCTGACCTCGGGGTCACAGTTCTCTGTACTTGTTTGTGTGCAGTGGCCGTCAGGTGTGGGTGGCTGTCCACGAAATGCGACAGGTGTCACCTACATGTCAGGCTGAGAGATATCTGGGTCACAGTAGCGCACAGAGACAGGCTGGTGTCAGAAATGTGTCAGGTGTCACACTGCGCTTGGTCATGTGTCAGGCTGAGACAAGTGCCAAGTGACACACTGAGATTGGGTCAGAGTGCAGACGATGACAAAGGTCAGGGGTCAGGCAACAAGTTGTTTGCTTTGAGAGTCGTTGTGACTTCTCTGCTTTCCGCAAAATATCTCCTTCGTCTACAAACACGACTTGAGCGAACCTCATATTTTTTATATTTTCTCAAATCAGTTCTCGGTTTCTCGGTGAAATACAATTGACAATAGGTACATTCCCTAATCGCAAAGCTTTGCCTCTCTAAGGAAGAAAAATGAGGTAGTAGGCCGTAACGATCGGTGGAAACATTTTTCTTGGGAACGTTGTAGTGTTCACATCGTTCTTTGATATTCCATAATGCCAAAACACGCACCGCTTTTTACCGCACTGCACTGAGATAGAAAAAAAACAGTAACGCCACTTTGCATGATATACCTAACTATTTAAGATATAACTATTTAAGATATCTCGCAGAGAGAGAGAGAGAGAGAGAGAGAGAGAGAGAGAGAGAGGGAGAGAGAGAGAGAGAGGGAGAGAGAGAGAGAGAGAGAGATGGAGAGAGAGAGAGAAGGAGAGAGAGAGAGAGAGAGAGAGAGAGAGAGAGAGAGAGAGAGAGAGAGAGAGAGAGAGAGAGAGAGAGAGAGAGAGAAAGAAAGAAAGAAAGAAATAGAGAAGAGGAGAACTGAGGGCTATTTCTTAGGCATTACGTTGATGTAATCCTATAACAGTGTGTTGATATGCCTAACTTCGTATAATCAACTTATTATGTATGGCATCAATTCGACGTCGATATCCCACTTCAAGTAATGATAAATATCTTACCCCGTGCTTCAAACTAATACCTTCTTTCCATACACGCTTTTTGTACTGTACGCTTTGTACTGTACTGAACGCACCATTCGTTCGTAAATCATCATTGTCCGGCGTTGTTTACCTAATGCTAAACTGAGGCTCACAGCCCCGCGCATATTGAGATGTTCATGCAGTCAACTGTAACAGACTTGCTGACATACCAATTGCCTGTGACACGTGTATAACAGGCTCGGGATGCGCTGGCACCAATGGCTCTCAACCGTTCCCCCATGTAAATTGGGTGATAGACATGCTCAGAGTCGCCACATTGCTTACCCGTCATGTCAGCGTCCCATCCTATTGGCTCGGTCCCAGGGACCCTGACACATATTACAGCTTCGTGACCCGGCAGCATCTGCCCTCCACCCTGTCCGGGCCGGAGCAGAGGGCCGCCCCTCTCTGCACAGCCGTGCCCGGTCCAACCAATTACAGTCATTTGTCGTCAGGGCGCTGTAATTGTCCCGCGGGTAATGCGCGTCCCCTGCAGCAGGCGCCGGAGCTGCAGTGGGCCCCATCGGACACGCCCTCTTGATCGCAGGTGACCTCATCTGTGCAGTAAGGTCAGGTCACGGTGGGTCACGTCAGGCCACGTCATCGACTGTCAACCGTCAGGACAATCAACTGTCACCTCCGATTCATACGGTGACCTTATAGCAGGGCTTTGTTGTGCGCTCGTATTGATTTCTGCATATAACTGTTATATTTTTAACTTTAGCTAAGTAAATCGCGGTCAGTGTTCAACTAAGTAGGGACTTGAATACCTTGAACATGGGATGTAGAGTCCTGTGACCTCGACTTGGTTCTGCATCTTCCGTTATCGGTGTGACCAGCGTCTCCTCCGCATTTGTCCGTAGGGGAAAACAGGATAATTGGTGTCATGTTCACACTCGTCTGTTCCGCAGTGCACGCAACATGCAAACCCACGAGTGTGAGCACCAAGGTCGTAATACTTCTGTGACTTTGCAGCACAGTATTTCAATTGGGCCAACAGGTGGTTAATGGTTATGGCTAATCACGTTATAACTGCCCTGTAGTAAAATTATGCCTCCACACAATATATGGTGAATTCAAACGCTGTAAATATACACGCTGATTCATTTACACATTTATTAGTGAAATGAATTAAGCTAACGGTTCTAATATGCTGTTACAAGATGCTCATTACGATAATTACTTTGTCTTTCAAACACCTGTTTCGTTCCTTCAATCTTTGAGAAGACTCAAAGGAAGCAATTGGCTTCCTCGCCACTCAGTTACGTTCATATGGTGCGTCGCAGTCCCCAACCCTGGATGCCAGCTCGGGCATTGGACAGGTTCGGACCATCCCGTCTATAAACAGAAACTATCTTGATTGACATATGTTACGGGTCCAATATATAACAAGGTATGCAAGTAAGAACAAAACTGCTTTGATCAAGTAGAAGTTCACAGCTTTTTTGCTATTATTAAACGGGGAAATAGCTGAAACGATAAGCGCATTTGGACGTCAACAACGATAGGATAATCGTTGATAGAATCCCACAATGGTTCTAGACGGCTGTTTGTTCTGACCCTGCTGACGCAAGCGTCATTATCCATGAGGTCTTGTTTAACTGGGGCACATTCGGTGCTCCGCTAATGAGCTCATGACAGCCCGTGAGATGAACCTTGAACCCGACTCGTCGTTGCTCGCGTCATATAGAGATCTAAGCGTTTGTCGAGTGAACAAAACCTGGCAATTACGAAGAATCGTGCTTCTTTTGTCTTCACTTAGCAAAGAAGCTGATTTCAAATGGGTGCCTTTATTGATGTTCATTACAGTTCCGTGCAAACGATTAGATGTTCACCATTCAAGTTGTTTCTTTTTGGCAATTATTCCAAAATAAATGCCACCTGAGGACACAGGTATGGCTATATCGTCATTTCGCATAGTCCCCAATTGGATTGGAACATACGTTTTATTTATGAGGACCATGCCTGTAACTGTTGTCACAGTTCACACGGCAATTTCATGTCCAATTGGATTGCGTTGTACCTGAATACACTTGGGGCCACCTGCGCCTCTAGCGAAATAGTTATCTGTGAAGCTGTAGTGCATCCCCATGACGGCAATAATGGGAACTTATATGCCTATTGCTGTTTCCCCCGGTAGATCATACGAGCAATATGCGCTATACAATGTGAATTATGTACTTACATGTAGTTTATACCACCTTGTGAGGTGCATCGGTATCACTAAACAACGTGACAGGTAACACTGACCACACTGTCATAGTCCTGCATATATTCCCTTGACACTTGAAGAATTGAAAATGCGTCCGTGGTCTGCTTACCATCATGCGCCGTTCAATTCAGTACCAAGCAATTAGGATAATTGCAATTTATGCACCTGGCAATTAATCGATATCGCTTGCCATTTTGTGATTAATCTATGCATTTTTCTAAAGCATAAATATATTTTTGATTGAATTATTTCACTTTTTATCAGACCCCTGTCTTCAGTTTTGATGAGCCAATCGTCATGACGTGTGCAATCACAGGTCCATGCGCACGTCCCATTTATTATCAATTTCCCAGTTACCCTTCTGTCTCTGCCTCATATCAAGGCGGCCATCGGACCAACTCATGCATGCCCTGAGCCTCTCCAGCTCCCCTCCACACCCCAACCCCTCCAGCAGCAGAGACAACCCATGACGTCATCAGCCTATTAGACGCGAGACGGAGTCTGGTGCGTCGCCCTATTGGTAGGCGTCCGGCGTGCGATGGTGCATGGACTACAGAAGGTGACACGGGTCACACCAGTCGCAAGGGTTACAGAGGTCACGACCTCTCGGGAAGCCGTAGGTAAAGAGCTGGGACGGGAGCACAAGGGATGGAAGGTCATCGGTATCGGCTCGGCTTCCATAGGCGATGGATAGTCTTTATTAAAAGAGTGACACTTCAGCTGAAATTGTTGCCTGAAAGCTTGCCGGGTAGTGCGATCTGGTTCACTGAAAACAAATCGACACAGTGAGGGCATGTTCTGTACTGGTAACACATCAGTCATGTGTTAATCGCACCCAAAACACAATAAGGCTGTGTATTTTCACGCTTGGCGGGACCTTCGACACGTTTGATAACACATAAAACAGAATAATGACACAATTTTACGTGCCAAGCACGCTGGACGAATGTAATGCATCAGTGTATCGAAATCATGTGTTGTCTGATATGGTAGATGTGTACCCTTGCACAAATACACCGTGCCATCCACCAGTGAGCGACCTCTGAACCTTAACTTCAGATGGGGATAATAGAGGGCGTTTTTCGAGCACCTACTTTTATGCTGGGTTTTTGTAAAAAATTGCCAAAGTGTTTTGAGAAAGGTCAAAATGCACAATACAGCCGAGGGAGTCGATACATGATAAATTGTCTAGAGCAATATGCGCTGATTACATCAAGTGCAAGCTGAAGCATGGCTAATTAACG